AATAAATATAAAAAATTTATTTTATACTGTATACATATTTAACAGTACGTGTAGTAGACAAACAATTAACTAAAACATGCCAATTGCATTGTTCGTCAGAATTCATGTTTATTTAGATTTTCTACATCTCTGTGGGTCTGATTGGTCTGGTATACGAGTTTTATCAGAGTCTAAACGTTGTAAGTTTACTCTGGTTCTGGACAATGTCGAGGACTAAAGTATACTTACTGGTTGGTTAGTAAGGCATTGTTGTGGCCTATCAACGACGTGGTTAATAGGCCTTAAGACCAACTTCAAAATAAGAGGACGTGTCGTCTGTTTATTCTGACTGCTTATGACGACTGCTGTTGCTTCTCGCCATGGAGGGAAGCGCTGCAGAGGAGACAGTTGCTGAAGGAGGTACAGCTAAATTGGGCACAGCAAGAAGAAACAGAGATGTAGGAGACAAAACCCGAGGCACAGTTGAAGGACACAATGCAGAAAGAGACACAGCTAAATGAGATAGAGCAGATGGAGCTGCAGCTGGAGAAGCTACAGCTGAAGGAGACACTACAGCAGCGTTGGTCCAGATTTCTGTGCATCCCGGTGGTGTCAAGACGGTCATCTAAACAGTATATTGAGCTGCTTGAGTTTTTAGGTTAACTTTATATATATATATATATATATATATATATATATATATATATATATATATATATATATATATATATATATATATATATATATATATATATATATATATATATATATATATATATATATATATATATATATATATATATATATATATATATATATATATAAACAGGAAATATATATATATATATATATATATATAAATTCACCCTAGCTTGGCCCTTTGGCCCGCTCTCTCTCTCTCTCTCGATAATTACCTCACTTTCCCTTCAGAAATGTAATTACTTCCTCAAAAGATAATTTCATTACTTAAGAGGTCTTTGGCAGACATTTCGCCATCCCTTCCTTACATTTGCATACCTCTAGCAACGGGCATGGGAATGTTTAATGTAGAGAGGAACACGACATACTGCAAAACCGTAGTTCTTATTACCAGTTAATTCTCAGTCCTGTGAGTAACTTGGACTCGTCGACTCAACCAGAGTATTCGTTTCTTGCAGGAGGGAGTCCAGTCCCCTGAAAATCCTAGTAGTTGAGCATTTATCTTCCACCGGTTTTCTCCCTGCTCCTTGCCCTCATATTCCTTCCAAGTGATACGTAGTTATTCTGGTTCAGTACGTTTTTCTTACCTGAATGTGGTATGGATTTAATCCGGGATCAATAGACCGCGGGCAGATTGAGGGTTTCTTTTGTCATTTGTTTAGGAGGAAGTAATTCCTTCGGCTTTGCCAGGCAAACATTGTGTTTTCCTCGACGTTCCTAATTAATCTTCTTAAAGGACTGTATCTGTATGTCTATATTCTAGAGACATAACTCTGTTTTGCTTCCTTATCTGCTTCTTCTTTGTCCAGAATGCCAACATGTTCAGGAAGTCACGCAGATATAAAGGATTTGTTCTTCTTCGACTCTCGCACAGTAATTCCTACGTGATCGGTAGAGCGAGCGAAACAATTTGGGCTGTTTTTAGTATCCTCTGAGAGTCTGTGTAAACTACGAAGACGGTTTTGGTGCTTCATATGGCCTTTTGAGATATTTAAGAACTATCGAAAATCCATTGGAGTGTTTCTCCGCCCAGTCCTCCACAACAACACATGGTACGTACGTCACAAAAGCGACTAATCCGTCAAAATTGCGGAATTTCGCAATATGCTGTAATACCGACGTTTACATTGGTTTTAATACGTTTCATTAAGTACAAACGGGACTAAGTCCTGGCTAGTTAAGTAATTAACCAGGACAAATAGTTTCAAGAACATATGAATGAAGGTAACTGCAGAAGGCCTGTTGGCCCATACGTGCATAGTTTCCTCACATTGTCACATCGTAAGAACGAGCTGGAATGTGAATTTGACTGACAGTACATTCTGTATACGATATACAATACAATTGTATTTTTGAACATTCTTGTAGTGAGAATTAAGAGTAGCATCGGTATATAAATGTTCCAGTGACCGTCTTGACATCTAAGGAAGAACAGTGGACTCGATCCCTTTTTCTCTCCGACATTATTTACATTTAGTAATATTTTCTGCCTGAAGATATCTTCATATTGGACGGAGATAAGGATGGGGTTTGGAGCCCGAGCGCTGGTCGATAGTTGCTACTTCAGGAGTTCTGAACAGTGGACTAAATTTTTCTACGTCATGTTCTGTGTCTAACCAGCTGGACTGATCGGTACAACAGCGTCGAAGCTACTTGCAGGTCGGCGTTTCTATTTCCCGGTGGTACAAACGAATCGGAAGCGTTCCTAAATTTAGTTCATCCTAATATCCCTTCCATGCTATCATTGCCATAATAGCTCGGAACTTGTCCAGACATTCACCTTACCTTACCATGTTTACTCATTCTTGTTTCTCGCCCTCAGTTCTACGCACCGGCCAGCCAGATCCTTGACGGGGACGCCCTCCACGCCAACACCCACACCCAGGTCTGACGGCGGCCGCGCGCCTCCCACTGCCCCACGCCTCAACTCCAGCTATTCGACACCTCTTGCCAGCCCACCTCCCACACCCAGCCCCACGACACCCACTACGGCCAGGCCTACAGGTTCTCCTACACCTCTCAGGAGCAGCGGCGGCCGTCGCAAGCGTCTCTCAGCGTCACCTATGGGTCCCCAACCTCTCAGCCACTACTAGGCCAGACCTCCCAGACCCAGGCGTTCGTCTCGCAGGCGCAAATCAACCAAATGTTTACCTCACACAGCTGTGACTCCCAGACGTCGCTGACAGCCTCACACCCACTGAGATCCTCCCAGGGCTCGCTAGACGTGTCACAGGTGTCATGTGCCTCCAGTGGGCCGTCTGTGACACCTGCAGTCACCCACGCCACCTCCCAGCCCACCCCACCCTCCCTACCACCAACCCAGACCCCAACCTCGCATCTGTGTGCTGATTTCCCCTTTTAGTCACAGCGTCGGTCCACGATGGACACCTAAATGTAGATAATTAGCTAGGCACCTGTTACTACTTTTGTAATACCAGAAACCAAGATAAATTAACTCTGCCAAGGTTTTAGCATGTGACCTATAAAGAATATATATATATATATATATATATATATATATATATATATATATATATATATATATATATATATATATATATATATATATATATATATATATAACTATATATATATATATATATATATATATATATATATATATATATATATATATATATATATATATATATATATATATTAATTGCTGCAGTTAAACAACGATCTCAATGGCTTAGAGATACTTTACTGCTACTGTTGTTTGGTGTGTTAGCGTTCTTCTCTACCCTTACCTGCAAGGCTCGATGCCACCTTGCCCGGTCACCCCAGAAGGCGATTCCCCCAATCCACCTCTGCCCCCGTCTCTGGCCAGGAGGATGGTGTGGGCGGCCAGCCCAAACACGCCCCAGAAAACCCCTACATCCCCGCTGTTGTAATATTGGGGGGGGGGGGAAGGGTCAGGTTTCAGCACGCCCTCAAAGAGCCACATATCCCAGCTCTGGTTGCGTGGGCGGCATGCCCACACGCCCACAATGTCTCAACCATGACACCAGGAAGGTCATTCTGTGCAAGTCCATTTCCCGTCATGAGATTTTGTTTTTCCTCCTGGGTAACTCTGGTAATGTGAGTGTAGCGGCTCGGGCAGGGAAATACCTGCACGAGGGAAAGTGTCTTCTGCTGTCAGGGCATTAAAGTCGCAGTAAGATGGTTGGGTTGGATTGTAAGACGATGTGTGTGTGGGAGAGGAGGATGGATGGTCCAGTCTCGGTAACACCTGGTGGCTGCCAAGTTTATATAATATTAGTGGCGTCTTCATTCCACATGCTTGGTACTCGGGATCAATTTGAGCGCTCATGATCTCTTATGAACACCTGTGAACGTTTGAGAATGTGACACCTGTGAGCACTTTTGACCCTTCATGTTACATCTGTGAACATCTATGGCGGTTCGTGTACCATTGGTAATACCTGTGGTTCCATGATCCTCACTGAGTTTCGATAATTGATGGACAAGACCAAGCCAAGCAATCATTAAGATAATTTGTTGTGCATATTTCACTGGGGAGATCGGCAGTTGCCATAACTGTTTCGTCTGTAAAGGACGTTTCTTGTACTGTAATGCCAATAATGGAGTAGATTTTACAGGCGAAACGACGCTTACGAGGTGTTGGTCGTGAAGGTGTAAATGCTGGTAGTGATGGAGATGGTGTTGATGGTGAACATAGGTGTGGAGTGATGATGCAGGTGCTGGTGAAGATGATGGTCATGGAAGTGATGATAATGGTGTTGTTGGTGAGGGGTAGATGCTGGTGGTGATGGTGCTGGTGGTGACGGTGCAGATGCTAGTGGAGATGGTGCTGGTGGTGATGGGGCAGATGATAGTGGTGATGGTGCTGGTGGTGATGGGGGAGATGCTGGTGGTGATGGTGCTGGTGGTGATGGGGAAGATGCTGGTGGTGATGGGGCAGATGCTAGTGGAGATGGTTCTGGTGGTAATGGGGGAGATGCTGGTGGTGATGGTTCTGGTGTTAATGGGAGAGATGCTGGTGGTGATGGGGCAGATGATGGTGGGGATGGGGCAGATGGTGGTGGATGGTGCTGGTGGTGATGGTGCTGGTGGTATCGGCAGTGTGATCGTGGATGTAAGCGTTGGATATAATACAACACAAGCGAACATGGTGAAGGCAGAGTAGTGGTATTAGTGGTGACAGTGCTGGTGGTATATGTTGCCGCATTTTGGTAGTGAAAGTGTGAAGATGTCTGCTGCATCATACCAGTACAGTAAACGATGTCTGTAGTAGGTAAGTCGTTATTCTTGTGTCTGGAAATGGCTCTACCAATGACATAAATTAATTTGACTGGACGGTGAATCAACAAATGGTATGGTGATGGCTCTGGTGACAATAGTGTATTGACAAGTGCATCAATGACGCAAGTGCTGATGGTGAAGGTGTTATGATAATGATGAGGGATGGTGACTTCGCGGGAGGCTAGAGTCACTGAGGTGGTCCGGGAAACCTTCCTTTCATTACCCAGGTGTCTCGATACCTATCCTGCCATCAACCTTATATACCCTGTTCTCCTTTTCCTAATGTTGTGCGCATCTTCTCGCTGGCACACTCCAAGACATATACATGAATCTTTGTGGCTTTATAAGGACATTCAGTTTCACCTGCTGTTGAAGAGATCAGGATCATATTACGTACGCTTATGTATGTGTTTTTTTTTTTTTTTCATGTTTCAATCATGTCGAGAAAGATATGATAGAGAAGACAATGCTTCACCTGTGAGAGATTCTCAGGATAAGGCGGAAAGAGCGAGAGAGGTTAACTTTTTCCGAGTCTACTCTCATCTATTATTAAAGCCTACTATATCATCTACCATTCAAATCTACTCTCATGTAGGTGTTTCACTACATGGGGTGTCACTACTCTGGCGTTCTTCACTACCAACTTCAGCCTACATATGCAAAATATATCTCGCACAAACAATAATTGCGTGGCTGGCTTCCTTACGCACAGCTCTGGCCTGCTCACGCCTGAGGCTAGCGTATCCATGCCTGTGACCAGCCTGCTCATGCATATGACTGGGGCCTGCTCCAGGAGTGTGGCTCGCTTGCTCATGCCTATGTTTCGTTCCTTACCATATGTTAAGACAGCTCTTCTTCAAGAGACCTGGACAACGCCAGGGATATTTATAACGCATCTGCATGTTCTTCTGTATTCTAACTTAGTCGTCGACATTATTCTTCCTCACTTCAGCAATTCCCTCAGGAATATGCAAGCAATATAGAAGGTGTAAAGTTGCCAGTTCAAACAGTTGGACTGCAAGTCTTTTCGTTATAGAACTCGAGATTATAAGCATTTTGATAGGGAAAATCCCCCATTGCTTTCCTTAACGTTTGGTTAAGCTTTTGTGGGAAGGTTTTGTCACGAATTGTCTTTGGCTTGTAGCTGTAAATGGAAATGACTGTTTCGAAAGGATTGTGAAGGGTTGTAGATGGTTGTTGAAGGCTGTGAATGGTTGTGAATGTTTTTTAATGTTTGTGATTAATTGAAGATGGCTGCAAATGATTGTAGATGCCTGTGAATAGTTGAATATAGATGTAAATAGTTGTAAATGGTTATAAATGGTCATGAAAGGTTGTGGAGGGTTATGAATAGTTGTAGATACGTGTAAATGATCTTGATTGGCTTAAGGGATACTAATAGTTTCTTGTTGATGGTTGCCGATGAATTTAGACGTAATTTTATTAGATGATTGTGAACGATTAGTAATTGTTATGGATTCTGAGGTGCAAGAGAATGTTTGCCGATTGCAAAAAAAGGGGGCCTCGGTTGCTATGTAGGATTCTAGTTTTACTGTGTTTATTGCTTTTTACTATGATTGGCCGTTGTTTCTAAAAGTAAGTTCACTATTTTTCTAACTATGGTTACTCCTGTTCATAAGCCTGGTCGCTATATTAGTAAGAATGGCATGTTTTCTGTTTGTTTTCATCTAAATATGGTTATTTTACAATGCAGGGATTTTGTTTTAGTTAGTATGGTTGCTGGTTGAGTAAGAATAGCTGTTGATTTACATGTATGTATGTGCTGATTTACCAGGAATAGTTGTTGATTTGCAGATGAAGAGTCACAATAACGTGGCTGAAAAATGTAGACCAAACCACACTAGAAATTGAAGAGACGACGACGACGTTTCGGTCCGTACTGGACCATTATCAAGTTGCAATCGAGTTGATAATGGTCCAGGATGGAGCGAAACGTCGTCGTCTCTTCAATTTCTAGTGTGGGGTTTGGTCAACAGTCGTTGATTTACAAGTAAGGTGGCTGATATACGGAGAATAGTTTTTGATTTACAAGCGTTGTTGCTGGTTTGCCAAGCAGGGTTTGCTGATTTACGAAGCATGGTGATTAATTTACAAGATATGGAGCGATGTAGCAAAGTATGATCGACGTGTTATTAAGTATGATTCCCGTATTATCAAGCATTATCGATGTATTATCAAGTATGACTGCCGAATTATCAAGTATGATTGCCATATTATCAAGCATGATTGTCATATTATTAAGAATTATTGCCGCTTAATAGCTAATTGCCATGTTCTCTAGTATGATTGCAGTACTATCGATTATGATAGATGTATTGTCAAGTACGATCGATGAATTATCCAGTATGATCAATATATTATCAAGTATGATCGAAGTATTATCACGTATGGACGCTGTATATATCAAGTTTTGTCCATAACTATATTAAAAAGTACTGCAGATATGTCACATGATATAGTGGCTGATATATAAGGCATGGGAGCAGTGCTCGTGAGATATATAACGCAGGTGTCACCAACAGTGAACCTGCAAGAGATTAGTGAAGAAAAAAATTCCTTCTGATGGAGCACTCGTCACAACGAGAGGGAATACTTTTCAATCTTCTTTCCACACTTTTGAACACCAATAACTTTTCATCACCAATCTCTCTCTTGCTTGGCCTGGCGTCGGCGTTGGCCGCTTCTGGTTACAATGTCACTTGAAGACCGTAAGGACGGAACATATCAGGATTGTTTTTATTTTTAAATCTTGCATCACGAGAAGATTATTCAGTGTAAATACCATTACCCTACATGTATCATTGTAGAGAAGGTTTAAATCATTGTCCATTATATATATAAATATAAATATATAAATATTTAAAAGCCAGATTTTCCTATCGGGATTATTTCAGGTGTTTGTGTACGTAGCGTGTGTAAATAATACTTCAACCCCCCCTGCATCTGTGCTTGTTAGATACGTCGAATAGAAACCACAGGAATAGTTCGTTGACTTGGTTTCAACGAGTTACCTTTTATATTTAGTGGTGGAGAGCTGACTTTTTTAGGCTTGCCAGACCCAAATGGCTTCCATGTCTTCGCTAGTAAATAATAATGAAAACCATGTATAAAAAAATATTAACATGTTAAACTTATAGGAGTGATAATGTTTGTTTTTCTTTTTTATAAAATATGATGGTGCCAAAAGTAAGTTTACGTGTGTGTGTTTTATT